ATTAATAACTTCCTCTTTCAATATTGGTAACCAGATCCTACTACATTCTGCCGAGGAATTTGCGACACAATTGGCCTCATTTAGCATAATTAGAGCCGCTTCTTTGATTTTTCTTTTTTTACCATCCGTTTCTTTTAGGACTATATTTGAATTATTCCATTGAACCCTATGTTCATTATCCCATGCGTGTTTACATATTTGAGATCTATCAAATTCTCTATTTTTAATATAAGATTGATGTTCACTTATTCTAACATTTAATGGCCTTGATGATTCGCCTAAATAAAACTAAAAATGATACTGGATATGAGACTCAGGTGTATAGAAAACCAACACACACCAATAGATATTTAAATTTCAAATCAAATCATAATATTAATGTAAAAAAGGGAATAATTAAATCCTTATACGATAGAGCCAAAATTACTTGCTCTAACGAAAATTCGTTCTTGGAGGAGAAACATTTGTTAACATCTGTTTTATTAAAAAATGATTATCCTTTATCGTTTATAAATAAGGAATTTTCAACAATCGATCGAATAGAACAGAACAACTTAGAACGAGATCCTACAGCATACACAAGGAATAATATGAGGAAAATAACAATACCGTACATAAAAGGATTATCAGAAAAACTTAAAAGAATAGGAAATAAATTCAACATTTCAACAACATTCAAAACAACAAACACGTTGAGATCTATTTTGTCCAAAACCAAACCTAACAATGAACAAGAAAGGACAAAGAATTGCATTTATAAAATACCTTGTGAATGCGATCAGTTTTATTTAGGCGAATCATCAAGGCCATTAAATGTTAGAATAAGTGAACATCAATCTTATATTAAAAATAGAGAATTTGATAGATCTCAAATATGTAAACACGCATGGGATAATGAACATAGGGTTCAATGGAATAATTCAAATATAGTCCTAAAAGAAACGGATGGTAAAAAAAGAAAAATCAAAGAAGCGGCTCTAATTATGCTAAATGAGGCCAATTGTGTCGCAAATTCCTCGGCAGAATGTAGTAGGATCTGGTTACCAATATTGAAAGAGGAAGTTATTAATAAGAAAATACCAGTATTAGTAAGTCAGTAACATATAGAGGATACATCATTTATGTTTTTTAAATAACGTAACATATAAAATCAGAATTTTGATGTTTGTTGAAGGTAAACTAAATTCACGAACAAATACTTACAATGTCGGGATAGTATTATGAGGTTTTTTTCTGGTTTTTCCCTCATAATTTACTATGGAATCACTAACAGGAGAATTTTTCTGTCATCATGTCATGTGTTTGTCTTTTTAAAGACGAATTACATGCTATGATTTTTTCTGACGGATATTCTCAAGTTAAAGTTGATTTCATGTAATCGAATGAACTATCTTATAGTAAAGTCGTCCCAGGAGCGCAACTCAACAATATTGGCAATATCATTTTAAAGTCGTCTACTTTAAAATGCATAATGTATGTCTGAATTGTCAATATAAATGAGTCAGATAAAATTAAATTATTAGAAGAATTTTTTCACTATGTAACAAAAAACAAAATTTGTTTAATTTACTGTTTGTATTTTGAGAACGATTTCCGAATTGGAAATTGAAACGTCAATAAACGTATTTTTTATCTTTAATTGTGGCTTATTCCCAGTTATAAATAGTAATTAATTTACAATGCCACAAGAAAATAGCTTCAGAACAATATTAAGAGAATGGATGAATCACGAAATACAAGAATGGATGGGTCAAGAGAACATAGTTACAGCAATAAATGCACAAAGAATTAGATGGTATGGACACATAATGCGAAGAGAAAAGAGTTATAACAGAATGGATACCACCAGAAAAATAACCAGAGGCAGACCTAAACTAAGATGGAGACAAGTAGAAGAAGACTTAAGGAGCGTGGAAATTAGAAATATAAAAAGGACAATCAAAGAGAGAGAAGAATGGAGAAAAAAAAAATAGTAGAAACAACAAAGTCACACCAGAAACTGTAAAATCAAACACAGAATCAGATGATTCCCCACATAAAAAAGATCTTTAAATGAAAACAGCTTGCAATGACTTGTTCAGAATGATCCAAAAAATGTTGTTCAAAGCGAAAAAAGTTTATTTTTATAAACTTTTTATAAAAATTCTTATATTTATAAGCAATTTATTAAAAATATACATATTTAAATAGATTGGGACCAATTTTTGCATGGGCTTCTTGAACCGTATTGAAGTGTCTCACGAAAGGGATTCTGGAAAAATATTGCATGGAAATATTTTTTTGATTGAACCTTATCTCCGAATCCCGATGAGATTCGTAGAAGGATCTGCCAACACGGCAAAAAATCCTATTTACTTAACCACCCGGGCTTTAAATATTATTTTAATTAGTTTTTATGCGGGAGGCATACTTTTATTCTTCCTGGCTGGTGTAAGAGACAGCGTGTATTAAACGTCACACTTTAATCACCAAAAAATTCAAAAATCAAACCATCGACCTACTTTTCAACTTTGTATTAAAATCGGAATTTCCGAAAACAATGTAATCGCCTGCAGAAATATTCGCTTGGAAACAGTTGAAACTTTTGAAATGTTGCTGTCAATCCGTCAAAAATCATGTGATTTTTAATAAAACTGTTATATAGGCACATTTTGTGCTTTCATTAATAAATAGTTCACAGCATGACATTTCAAGAAAACTGAACAGATTTATTAAAGAATATATTAAAGTAATTAAAATTAATAATAGTAACTTTTGTTATGTTTAAACCGATTTTCTTCAATCCTAACGAGTTAACAGCAAAACATGGATTTTAAAAAGAATGCCATGATTCTTCAGTACCTAGAAACATTAACCATATAATTTATAGTTGACGGAAAGGTACAGGGTGTCAAATCAGAGCAGAAGGAGAGATGATTTATCAAATTGATGTTTTGAGTGTTTAAGTCATTTGTGTCGATATGTGCCAGTGGAGTGTGCCAGAAATCAAATAGACTATATACTTGTAAATGAGCGTTTCCGAAATACCTTCAAAAAATCACTACATTTCCTGGGGCAGATATTGGATAGATCTGATCATCAACCACTTATAGCAGATATTAAACTAAGGATAAAACGAATTCGGCGACAAAAACCAAAAACCAATGTACTTAACTTTGACGATATAAACATAAAACATAACTTTAAAAAGGAATTTAACAATAGAATAAAAAACATCTGAGAACAACTAAAAGATCGAGAAGAACTATGGAGTGAATTTAAAAACCAAGTTTTTACGAAAATCAAACGAAATCTCCACAAACAATGATTATAGAAAAAACTTAATCAAGAATAATAAATGGATGACATTTTAAAATTAATGGAACAACGTCGACTGATAAAATCTAATGAAACGGAATATAGACACCTGCAGAGAAGAATAAAAATGGAGATCAAATTAGTCAAAGAAAAATAGATGAGAGAAAGAGTTCCCTCGGTACTCGTTCACGAGAAAGTTCACAAAATGACATATTTGAGACCTGTGATAATGGACCTACTAGATCCAGACATAGAAATAAAATGTAGAATAGCAATGACTAAAACTACTTTTATGGAAATGAAGTCATTTCTTTGCAATAATCATCTCAGTTTAGAACTACGACAAAGAATGGTTAAGTGCTATGTTTGGTCCGTACTTTTGTATAGTGCAGGTGTGTGGACGCTAAAAGTATCGATCATAAACAAAATTGAAGCATTGGAAATGTGGTTTCATAGAAAATACCTCGGAAGCAAGGAAAACTAACGAAGAAGTACTAAATAGCGTCAACAAAGATAGAGAACTGCTAAAGACTGTTAAACATCGAAAAATGTCTTATCTGGGACATATAGTAAGGGGAAGTCGATATAAAATATAACAGCTGATCTTTAATGGCAAAATAGAGCGCCGTAGAGGTGTAGGAAGAAAACAAGTTTCTTGGTTAAAAACATTCGTGAATGGACTTAGATATCAAATGCAGGACAATTATTCCATATTGCAGAAGATCGAGAAGCCTTCGAAATAGTGATCGAAAACGTCAGATAATTCTGATATGGCACGCGAAGAAGAAGTGCCAATGGAGGTGACCAATCCGTATTCTACTGTTGGTTTTCCTCAATTCCCTGAAAAGGTTAAACAAAGAAACCAGACCACCATCTACTTCGAGGTGCTCCGTTTTTTATCAAATATATATCAATGATTCGTATCGTTACGATGATCTCAGGCATATTTTGAAGCATTATAAATAATTTTGTTTATTTGTTTTTGAGCGATTGCTCAAACGCTCTAAACGAAATTAAATAACTCCAACATATGTTATTAAATATTATTAAAGACTATATTATTATTTTATCATATACTGACAAGGCAACCTTCTGAAATTTCGATTTGTAAAATTATAAATTCAACATGGTTTAATATACAAAATTTCTTGGTATTGTTAGAAGCACTTGAAGGTCTATTATACACAAAAAATATTTTATTACATTTGGTTATATTTATATAAAAAAAAGAAATTATTTAGGGTACGTTTATTATACTGAAGCGAATGTTTTATAGTTAATGTACTTCAGTTAATGGTAAAATACAACGCAACTGTATAATTTTCTGAGCCTACACCGATTTGCACCAAAACTTGACTATAGGTTCTACTTAATCTCTACTTCAAAGTTGACCCTGTGCCGTAGGTTGCTTTTATCCTGGGAGAAGATTTATTGCTTTAATAATATTAGTAATTTGAAGCTCTTAAGTATTTATGAACTGAATGTTTAAGACAATTGTTTATAATATTCACATAGTATAAAAATACAGTGCTACCAACCAGCAAACAAGAAATTTAGTACAGCAATATTCAATGTATTTCTGGTAAGATTCCTCTCTACACCAGAAATGTCACTAATACAGCTTATTTGTTTTTTTTTCTTACATCGATCTCATCAACAAACTTAAAATATCAAAATCATCAACGCTGGCGACACCTAATTACCTGTATAACCTCACTAGCTTTACGACGAGATGACAGCTCCAAATCTACTTCGTCCAATAGCGCTGACATAGCGTTTACAACTACGAATAGAGAATCGATACACTCTACTTACTCTAATTACTCACTTTGTTTGAATTAAAAACATCAATTGTTTAACTATAATCAATCCATATTCAAGAAAAAGTGACAAGACTACTACCGAACCAGAGAAATAAGCAAATAAAGCCTTTTTCGTGACACTAACAACTAGGTATCTAACAACAGAACCTGAGTTAACCAATTTATATGTCTCCATTTTACAATTTCAAAAACTGAATTCATAAATTCAAACCGTAAAATAGTTTCGAAACACAATTCAGATTTCTGCTTTAATCTGTGCTTTCTAAAAATTGCAAAGCAAAACAGACGTTGATGAAGGTGTTAAAAGAGACATGGGGAACCTAAAATTTGCATTCCACGACATGTCTTTTGAACTAAGCAGAAATCCTTAGCGAATTGGTTTCTTGTACTCGTACAGAGTAGATCCGAATAAAATGAAAAAGACAGCAAATATTTGATTTCACGCAAAAAGCGCCTTTGTATCTGTTGATACGTATTTCGACCTAATAGGTCCCATCAGAACAGTTATTCAAAGGTGTTCTCAACGTGAAAGATCAATATTTTCTGTCTTTTAAGAAGCAACACTAAAATGGCTTCGATATGGACGCAATAGCGACATCTGATAATAAAACCGTAAAATAGTTTCGAAACACAATTCAAATTTCTGCTTTAATCTGTGCTTTCTAAAAATTGCAAAGCAAAACAGACGTTGATAAAGGTGTTAAAAGAGACATGGGGAATCTAAAATTTTTCGCGTCTAGTAAACGTCAAAGGAGCTTTTTACTTCTGATTAACTGTCTCACTAGGTTTGACGACTACTATATTTATATAGGTACATATTTGGCATTATTTATTGATGCTCTTTTCACTGAATATGGATAAATTATATTAAAACGATTAATTATATTAACATGATATAAAGATTTTTACCCTCCAAGTTATATTTGTAAACCGGACTAGGGATATGTTTGATAATACAATATATACTTAATATAAACGCTATATAAAACCTCACAAACATTTTGTTTCTTGAAATAGTGTGAAAAACATAAATTCAACAAAGTGTATATTTTTTCTTAATGTACCCATCCTATTAAAATGTGGATGTCATAATGTCTATCCATTTCTATTCTGCAACTGATACCCACTACTTATTAATACATAGCCAAGCAACTCTTTCAACTTTCCTCCCAAGCAGTTTTTCTTATACTTGGAATATTTCTTTAGATTTTTTTTGTCTGCATATAATTCTAGGCTTCTACGTCTTAGGAGCATAAACCCTTTGTATTTGCTACAGCTACCGCTAAAGTGGCAAAAAACGCCGTTTAAGTTTGTAGATATCAGCGCATTGTCTGATGATAGGAATAACCTTGAAATCACCATAACTTACTGGTATTGTACGAATTGAAATACAGATACCAACTATGTTCCTGCTGCATATACTTTCCTACACACATAAAAACTACAGTAAGCTATTCTGGAAATTCATTTTGCACAATTTTCCACATTTAATGTGGTGTTAATTCTTCGAATTGTTCTTTTTAACACTTAATGCTGATTTCCAATTTCGGGTATACTTAGTTGACTATGGATGCACTAAGAGATCTGTTTATTTTATCTCAATTCTTGCGACTCTATTAGTACTCCAATCGTCAGAGACGAAAATTAAACTGGACCTCTAAAAATCATACTGTTATGGAATACTATGCGTTTATTTCTTCTCCGGACTAACTCTTTGTTTTGGAATTAAACAGAATATATTGACATGTATAAATTTATTATATTAGAGGATGAAAATTACACTGCCTGTTATTTCTTAAAACTATGAATTTATAAGTTCTGTTATCTACAATTATTTAACGATGTTTCTGGATGGATTTGAGTACAAGAGATTGGACTCAAATATTAATATTAAAATAGCAAATACGGATAGCTTATCGAACAAAGAAATAAGAGAAATAAATTATTATTATTCCATAGATACGAAGTATTAGGCGAATAAACTAGCGAAACTTATTTATTCTAAATAGGAAAATATTTATGAAGAGTATTGATTCTGATTTCTAACAGCAAATAATTATTAGTGATTATACATGAGAACTTTTCATAATTGTAAATAACATATACCAGGTGACTAAAAACTATATAGAAATACATAGATACTTTAATTATCTTACATGTGAGTAGGTAGGTACATTACACCTCCTTTTGTAAGAATGAAAATAATTGTAAAATGAATTTTCATTTAAATGGTATAAAACATTTGTATACATTATTATTTTATTTTAACACATTTAAATAGTTTCTTTTTGTCTCGATAGTCTTTCACTTCGTCTTATCGGTGTAGTCTCTGTGAAACTAGTCTCTTCACACTTTTTGGATTCACTATAATTATTGTCTTTATTATGTTTACAATCTATACTTAAATCTGTCTCATGTACATGTTTTCGTTTACTTTGACATATATTTAGTGTTAAACAATTTGTAATTTGTTGACAACTATGTGACGGATTTCTACGAAATCGTCGGTAAAAATATTTAATTATCCTGTATAAAATATAAAGTAACATACATTTTATCAAAAATAAGATTGCATAAGTGAAATAAGAACTATTTTTTATTGTGTCTGAAAAATTAATATTTGTTTCTGAGGTCATTTTCTCTAAATTATCTAGTTTATGGCTTGCTAAATTTAATGCATCTCGATCGAGATTATTTAATTGTAAGGGAACAAGGTGTAATTTGGATTCATTATTTATCTTAATATCATCACAACAGACTTCTGGAAGGGATAAATCTGGAATGATAGACTGAAAATTACTTTCTTTTGGATTTGAGACAGATATCAAAATAGTTGATCCGGTGTAAGTTTTGCAATTATTCGAAGTAGAAAAAATACCTGTGTTTGAAAGAACAATAGATATTGGCGTACTAGTCTGACAGCTTAAAGTTAAATCTGTTGGTTTGGGTAAAACATATATCCAAGAATTTGGTTTGTTTAATTTATGCCAAATTTCATATTCTGTTTGAATTATACGAGTATCGCAACTAGATGGTATGTTTGTTATTGAAGTTAACAATTCAGTTTCACAAATTGGATTAGTGTGTGTAAATCGGAAAGTATCAGGATTTTTGCAAATAAGTTTTTCTTCATCTAATGAATAACAGTCTTCTAATGTATCAATAGTAACATAAATGTTTCTATTTTCTGAAAGAACAAGATATTTGACAGATGGAAGAATAAAGGTAAGTCTCTTTAATGTTGGATGAATTATAGGAAGAGATATTAGTTTAAAAAGAGAATAAGGAGTATTACTAACCAAAGGTATACTAACCGTAATTAAAATCTTGTTATCAAAATATATATATTTAAGTAAAATGATATCGAAATATTTATGAGCATAATCGATAGTCAATGGAAATGGATAAGTCGATGTACTAGGTAAATGCGTTACCGTTTTAGATAATTCTTGAATTAGTTGCTCAGGTGTTATAACAGAAGGATGAAGGTTATTATTTCTTGCAAATAGAATAACGTTTATTAAAGTAGAATATTCTTGTTGTAATTCTGTTATAAAGAAAGTTAGTAAAGTAAAATGTTCTTCAATTTTTTGTTTTAAATCTAAATTAAAATATTTATTATTCATTTTATCTGTGTAATTGGTAATTGATTCAAAATTTTTATCAAAAATCACTTTGTTTCGGTCTAGATTTGTAATAGAGTTATTAAAATTTGCAATCGTGGCTTTTACTACATGAATTTGTTGTTTTAGTAAATCAAGAAGATGATTTTCGTTACTTTCAGCTTTGTTAATAGCATTATTGAAATTTTCAGCATCATCACTGTCTAAGGTACCGAATAAGGTCCTGAAAACAGATCCAATTGCATTAAATAGAGCGCGTTTTGGTCTAAAATGTTCATGCAGAATTATGTTTTTTAAAGTTTGTTCATCTTGAAAGAGTCTAGGTATGATTTGTCCTAAGAGTTTTAGTGAAGTATCGCATAATCGTAATTCAATAAGAACTGGTTTGTTTTGACACAGTCTTAATGTTTTTTGATAGGTGAGATCTACAAAATTTAATTTGTCTGTAAAAGGTTGTAAAGGAATATGACTTAATATGTTCCAATGAGTTTCAATAAATTGAACATTTTTTATGTGTTCGTAATAGATTCCAGGTGATTTGTTGATAGGAGTATTGGTATATTTCTTGTGAATTTGTTCACTATTTGTCAGCCATATTATTGCATACCTGAAACAAAAGCATGTTTCAATCTATTCATGTGAACTTTTATTGGTTTTTTATTTACTAAAATTGTACAATTGACAGGAGAATTTATCTCTAGAATTTTATAAGGTCCATTATAATTTTGTGTAAGTTTTTTGGTTTGACCCTTCTTTGTTTGCTCATTTTGGAGATATACTAATTGTCCTTCTAAGAAAACGGTGTCATTAATCTTTTGGTCATAATATTTTTTACTGACTACTTTAGATTCTAATAGATTCGTTTTTGCTAACTCATGAGATTTTCTAAGTTTAAGTGTTAAATTATCTAAATAATCTTCATATGTATATTTGAGTTCTACTGGTCGTATTATACTGCTAGGTAGATTAGGTGTATATCCAAATATTAGTTCATATGGTGTGAATTTGGTTGAAGTATGATTAGTTGTATTATATGAAAACATAGCAAAATCTAGCCATTCGTCCCAATCGGATTGATCAGCTTTAATATAATGTTTAAGGTAGTCTGCTAAAGTAGCGTGACTCCTTTCTAATGCAGCATTTGATTCTGGATGATAAGCAGTACAATTTATATGTCTGATTTTAAAAAGCTTGGCGATTTGAGAAAATAATTTGGAAGTAAAATCTCGGCCTTGATCAGTAACTATTATATCGGGTTTTCCAAACTTGCAAATAAATCCACGAACCAGATTTTCAGCGATAGTCTTGGTTTCATGATTCGGAATTGCATAAGCTTG